ATCCTCTTCACAGCTACCGACACCCAATACCTTAATATCATCTGCAAAGTAATTTATTGACCATTCTTTCATCTATATCATAGATGTAAATCAAAAAAGCAAAGATCCTAAAATTTTATGTGGCACCTTGTCAAAGGCTTTCTGAAAATCCAGATACACCAAATATACACTCTTACCCTCATCTACATAAGCAGTAACCTTTACAAAGAATGTCAAAAAAATTGTAAGGCAAGATTTTCCCTTAGTGAAACCATGTTGACTATGCAGTAAAATTCTAAACTTTGTTAAATGACTTTGCAAAGGATCTTTTTAACAGACTTTCTAAAACTTTTCCCACAACTGTTGTAAGATGAATGGATCTGTAATTACTGGGACACCTCCCTTGAAAAGAGGAGTTACATTAGCTAACTTCCAATCCCCTGGTACCTGTCCACTATTCAATGACTGAGTAAAAATAGTAGAAAGTAGTACACATATCCAATCTTCAACCTCCCTCAAAACACTTGGGGAAATATCATCTGGCCCAGGAGCCTTATCGTTTATTAAACTTCCCTATTTTTTCTTAACCAGCTCAGAATTAATGCAGTCGTCCTGTTTGATCTCGTTTCCATTTATCAACAGTTCAAGATGTGGAATACTTCTTAAATCTTCATTAGTAAAAACCGAAAAAGCAAAATTTAATAACCCAGCCATCTCATAATTGTTAGATACTAGTCTTCCTTTATCATTCCTCAAGGGTCCTATCCCCATCCTAACCTTTGGTTTACCCTTAATGTATTTAAAGAAATCCTTACTGTTATTGTTAATTTTTACATTTTCAGCAAACCTTTTCTCATACATCCTTTTTGATATCCTAATTTCCTGTTTCACCAACTTTCTTCATCTTCTAAATCTCCTGTCATGCCAATCAATTTACATTTTTTAAATTTGTGATGATTTTCGTTGTACTAAAATTTACGCCACTAAACTCCAAGTTAAAAGTTTGACCGTCTTACTTTTATTTATCAATCTTACTATATCTAGTTATTATTGTGTTATTTAACCCAAATTATAATATTAATATTAAATCATTTTCAGAAACCTATAAGGGCTTAACTTTTCAACGTCTTCTCTCTTCCGTAGCACCATCTAAGAAAACAATTAAATCAAACGTTAAGCATACGAATTTATAAAAACATTTTAAAAGAAAATAAGCAATTTCAGCATGAATTTTACTATACTAAAATATCTATAAACCGTTATAAACATGACATATTTCTGAATTATATATATATATATAATGTTTCACAGAAAAATATTTTGTTACTAACACTGGAATGCGCTTTGACGTCATCATTTTATCGTTGCTATTAAAGTTTCGTAAGGTGGCGTCGTAGTAAACCTTAGGCTTCGTGTTTCCAATTTAAGTCAACTGTTTACAACAAAATTTCTTCTATCTTATAAAAGGTATATTTTATATCATGCTCTTAAGTTAGGATTATTTTATAACTATACCCATTGTTTAAATTCTAATATCGTAGTTAGTCGTTTCGTTAGCATGTGTCCAAGTATAAGTTATAACTTTGTAGGATTAGGCTTAAGGAATAGTACGTTCTAAATTAAGTTATTACGGCACGAATTACGCTATAGTCCAAATGAAATTAGAATTGCTCACTGTTAGTATTATTATTAGAACAAGTGATGACAGAAGGCTGATCAGTTCATTAAAATAATAAATCTCACAAACTGTGACAAAATGAAAAAATTAAATGTAGATTTTTTATTTCTAAATCATTAATATTATATGAACAAGCATTCAGTCCAAACTTCAGAAGTATGTAAATTGTAATACTAATGTTTAATCTCGAAAGTATCGTTAACAAATGACGAAACAATGTATTCTGATAATAATGTAATAACAGTATATCTACTTAGCTATACTCATTACCGGGTTGAGTTTTATATTTGATCTAGGTTTGTAGTTTTCTCTGATCACAAGTTAATATTGAAATTTGAATATTATATTGTGTTTTTATCTTAGATCAACGTTAAAACATGTTAACTGTACACTCTCCACACCATTTTTGATCACCCAATACAGTTCTAACGCTGACAATACAGACTATATAATTCCAAAAAAAGTATTTTAAGTTAATAAATCCAAACGTTTTATATCTTTAACTTTCAGTTTATGGATTTTTTTTTGATTTTTTTTGTAATGATGTTAGGAAAACTATTCACATCTACAAAACTTATACAGTTCGTGTACAACAAGAGAGCATACACACATACTCAAAGTATTCAAGGCTACAAGCTGTTTTCCTCAATAATAGATGTATTTGGAAAAAAAAATTGTTAATTTATTTTTAGTTTAAATGTAGCTTTACAAGCGTACTTATCAAAGTTAAAAGTAATTTTCTACAACACTTTTCTACACAGAACGATCAAGTAAACAGGAAGCCCTTTGTTCCATCGAGGTTACCCATTCAACAACCCGACTATTAACTGACAGATTAAGAAAAGGTAGAACTTTTTGTAATAATTAAAGCTGGTTTTCATATATATATATATTGAACGTCATCAGAAAACCAGTTTTAAACAAAGACAAGCGTTTAACTTGTGATTGTGAAAGTGAGTGATCTTTTAAAGAAGTTGAAAAATAAAATTAGCAAATCATTAGTCTTATTGAACTTGCAATTGGTGATAGAGTCCATATTTCAAATTACTTATTATACCTTATGTTTTTGCTTAAAATATAATAACATTTATAAAGTTGTAACTATATAATCAAGCTTACATTTCTTTATCCCGCCACCGTTAAATATATATCGTTATTAGTAAGGCGTAAGTAAAGTATATTTAATTGGGTATTCTCTACTCTGTTGATTTTTTGTTTCGTTCTATATAGATAGTTTTCTCTGATCAGAAGTTAATAAAATAGACTAACATGAAATATGGCTGTGGAGTTAGTGTTTATTTGAAGTTTCAGCCTTGTACTTTTCACGTGTTTTAGGTATTTCACCCAAGTGATGTTTTCTTTTAAAGTTCTGCCGTTTTGATTACGGCTGAAAAAGTCTTAACTTTCTAGTGATAGAGATGTATCTGTCCGCTTATTGTTCGAAAAAACAAAATGTTTATCAACGTTCATATGACGAAAAACGATACTATAGAGTAATTAAAATAAGTTCAACTGTGAAACACTTGTGTGCAGATTTTTTTTTTTTTACATCGTGTTTTGTTATTCATATATTGTGGTTTTGGAGCAAACACCAGAAATGATCAGAAAATGAAAGGTTCGTAGACAAGTAAATCACCTAAATTACATTTTAATACTTCTGACATCGCTCTATGTTACTCATGAAACCCAGATTTTCGTTTCAGAAATTAATGCGTACGAAAGCATGTTAGTAATCGTGCCATTAAACATCGTATTTCATAGCTATCGCTCAAGTATTTTGTAACGAAACAAACTTGATACATTGGGCTCGTATTGAGCTAACGGACTGACAGAGATTGTCCTTATAAAACCGTTTCTGTTAAAGAAAGTGTAAGTCTTGTTTCTCGTAAAAGCTTGTAATATTCAATGTTTTTGTATTTTGCATATACATATATAGATACGCACACAACAACAATCCAAAATGATTAATGATGAGAAGTAAGGCAATCGTGTTAGTTTTTTTTTTTGTACACTGTTGTCTGTGTGTATATAATAAGATGTCCTGAGTAACCTTATCTTCCCTCAGTTTCTCCAGCGTAGTATAGTATCTGTGGTAAGACACTAGAAAAATGAACAATATGTGCTTATTCTCTTCTATTTATAAAACAGAAGAAG